TAATAAACACCTACACCAAGTTTAAAGATTCTAGCTCAATTAATTAGAAGGAGAGTTATTGTGTTCCAGGGTATCGACCAATCAAATTGTTTATCGCTCTGCTTACCCTAAGCAGAAAATGCTCATTATCGAACTTAGTCAAGGTATTGATGTAATGAAACTATACACCAAGTTTCATCACTCTAACTTAATTAGAACTAAAGTTATCATGTCCCAAAGCATCAACCAATCAAATTGCTTATCTCTGCTTACCCTAAGGCCGTGTTGAATTGATTCCTTGTTTCTCCTCGCCCGCGCGCTTAGGTCGAGGACCCCGAAAATCGTGCGCTTACGTTTTTAACACAAAAAAAAATATTCAAAAAATAACGTTAATAACATCTAAATAAAATTCTACCAAACATCAGAAGTCAATTCTTGTTGTTTATTCCTCGTTACGAACTAAATAAGTAAGTGCAGGGGGCCGCACTACACGCAAAACAAAAATCTACAAGATAAACCTGCGGACAAGACAGAAAATAGGCATTGCACCGAATAAACACATATCAAATCAAGTGAATGGATCCGGTTGATAATACACATGTAGGGGCCCGCATACTATGGAATAAGTTACACTGTATATGATTGGATGAATTCCGCAAAATGGCGCGTCTAGCAGTCATTTCGGCTAATGAGAAAGCATATTATAAACTGTAAGACAATCGCTAATATTCAACCGCGAACCTGAATAATCAATTTTCCATTGGCTAAAATTATAACACGTCATTATTATTCAAGTATTACCCAATCATATCTTGTGTAATAAATAACGCACGCCTTACAAAATGGTGAGCTATGCCGGGATATAGGTAAATTCGCGTACCAGTCGGCCTAATTTATTGATGTTCAAGGAAATAATAGTGGCCCCGTTCGCTCGTTTGTGGAGTTTAACGAACGAACGAACAAACGGGACCACTATTATTTCCTTGAACATCAATAAATAAATTAGGCCGACCGGTACGCGAATTTACTTATCTCGACTCGACTTTGGTGGTTATTCCCAGCACTTTCACGTTCGATGATATTATCGAAACCATCTATAACTCAACAAGCGAATCAAATATCGTCTAACTGGAATGTTTCCATTGTATTTTAACACAAGAATACGGAAAATTTATATCAAAATATGGTTATTTCATTTTTTAAAAAGTTAAACAAAGAAGCCACTTGTTACCAAATTTAGTTTGTTATTAAATTTATTTAATTAAATATTATCTGTGTTTTTATTCTAACCAATAATATAACTAGATTATTTATAATATTATTAAAAATGGTACACAACCCTCAGACTATATAGGTATTATGCCAGACCACTTTGTGTTTTGAAACCCACTTTGTGTTGTGTTTACCGCACTACCGCACATGATTGCCTGAGTGGTGGCAGGAGAAAGAAGGAATCAATTCAACACGGCCTAAGCCGAAAATGCTCATCTTCGAACTCCATCAAGACATTGACCTAATAAACACCTACACCAAGTTTGAACATTGTAGCTCAATTAGAAAGAGAGTTATTGTGTCCCAAAAAGTGTGACAGACAGACCCATTTTAATAGTCCCCTGCTTTCTTCGAAAGGCGGGGGGGAAATAAATTACAAAAACAATTATTACTTAGTCAACAATTGTTTTATTTAATCGGGGGATTAAGGAATCAGTCAGGCGTTAATGAAAATACACGCCGGCTGTATATAGATAATTAAGGAGTAAACATTCCTAATATGCATTTCGTCACTGTGACGTCACTGGCGTCTGGGGGAATTAAGAGTGTTTTCGATTATTCGCAAAGTCGTTTTTTACGGCAGGTCTATATTTGCGACTTTGAGTGAAGATAGCTGATTTAATTTTAATCAGATTGATGTTAACTTGCCGTAAAGTGCATATAGTAACCACTGGCTATAAGTACATGAAATTTAGGGATTTCGTCTTATGTGCTGTTAAATGTTTGATTCATTCTGAAAATTAGGGTGACAAAGAACTTTTCGGGCAAACTACAACTACACTACAGTAGAAACGACAAGATATCGGTTTTCCTTGCAGGAATTTGAAATTTTTCAGTTTAGTTTTCTGTAGGGCGACTTTGATCCAATTATCTTTTCTGAAGCGCATCGTCTCTACTTTCACTTCGATAATAGTAGCGATGCTAAACGCCGCTAGGAGCGCTGGCTGTACTATTTACAGACATCACAAAAAGTTGACCGAGAAAAGTATACGTCGTGTTACGCCTTGTCATGAATATTCAAAGTGTCAAACATTGACCACGTGATGTTTACCATCGAGAAAAATAGATGAACTTGCTGTCGAGTAGGATTTTGAGAAGCTGAGGTAAGATTTTCTGATATTTTTCATGAATTGAAAATTTGAAGTTGAGAGAAATTTTCGAAAAAGGCCCTCGACGCTCAAGATTTTGGTATATTTGGAAAGCCCAATTCATTAACTACTTAGTTTGACCATTTGTTAAGTCCGTATCCCCCGTAGGAATTCGTAAAATGGCTGAAATTGAACCATGTGGAATTAAAGGGAGGTAACTCGTGGTTGATCAGGGTTCAGACCATAATTACCCCCCCCCCCCCACAGACTTCAGTATAAAAAAAAATGATGTTAGATTTGGACAGGGTTTTTTATTATATTGAATGTTACTAAAGCTACCAACCAAACTTTAGCCAGACATTTCACTAACAAAGGATAAAAATTGTGAATGTTGTTGACCACCTTGGATTTTTTTTTCAGGAACTGTAGCTGAAGAAGTAAGCTACATAATATATACTCATCCAAATCCAAACATAGCCAAAGGCGATCCCTGATATTACTTGGTACAACATAAAATAGACAAATGATGATGATATATAGGCCTACTCATACAATTTGCATGAGGACTATAAAAAGGGGGGCTTGAAACTGACTGTTTCTCAGCATTCTCAAGAAAGTCCATAATTATTATAAATTTGGTATGAATCATAGAAGTTAGTTTAATTTATTGTTTGAAATCAGTGTAAGTAATCTTATTTTTGTTATTTCAATATTTGTGATAATATTTATTTTATTTTTAACATTTTCTACCTGAAAGAAGTGGCCTGATGCGTCAAATGTTTTTGTTTATTTTGAAAAATATCGCATATGAATAATGTGATTATTTTATATTGTTATTATTGTTTGTTTTTGTAAGATACATGTATTAGAAATCTTATATTTGTTGATAAATGTGATAATGGTTTCTTTTTTTTTATCATTTATTTTAAACCGGTGGGTGAACATTTTTAATTTCATATTAAAAAGTAACAGATATGAATTTTGATCTTATTGTGATTTTGTTTTTAATATTTTTATATTTTTATGACATAGATAATGTCTCGGCAAGATGTATTACCATCTGAATGTTTATATTGTTTTTATTTTCATGGGATAATGTCTCAACAAGAAAGCTAGACTTCTACCACTGATATTATAATATAGTATATCGTAATGCACATGTATCACAAATTAATTTTTTTAATACTCTTTAATGTAGATCATATCTTACTTTTTATAAGCTTACCTTTTAATTTGGACTCTTTAAAGATATTCAAATGTTTTAATTATGTCTATTAATTATGTCTGTTTTTATTTGAAATTGTAGTAATGTTGATCACAAAAATATAGCTGTTATATAAATCATAGTTTAATTGTTAATTTTCATTCCTGAAACAAACAATTTCAAATTGATGTACATGGCAGCTTCTAAACAACTAAAGCAGTTGGCGTGGCAAAGGCGGCAAATCTGCCAAAAGCTTACAGGTTTATTTCTCATTTTGCCACACACTTTCATGATTTTTAAAAATATCCACAGTATACGTTAGTATAACCGGTTTATAATTGTTGTATGACTGTGAATGGCCAGTGGTCAATGGCCTCGGAACCAGTAGGTGCCCAATTACATACATAAACTTGTTTCTCTTCGACATTGACATCATACAGTCAAAAATTGTGATTTAAGGTGTTGTCATGCAAAAAATAAATAACAGAACAGACTGAAAACACTTTTATGTGTGCTTATTCATTAAAAAAATAAGCCTCTGTATTAATGTCAAAGCGCTACAATTTAAGTACACACAAATTTGAAAAAATTTTTGCTGTGATTTGTGCGAAATCGGCATGGATCCCAACTTTGAACCTCTGTAACATAAAAAGTATATACTAGAATATTATAGCGACAATTTGGCTTTATCAAGTCCATCTAGATCTTTAATTAGTGCAATTTTCATAGACCTATCTTGTATAGTTACTGAGATATTGGCTTCGGTCACTTTTTTGCGGTTTTTAAAAAAAGCCGTTTTTTAGCGCCTCTGGTTTGCCTTCTTTAAAACGCTATAACTTTTTTAATTTTCAATATTTTTTCGAAATTTTTTCAGATTATTCATTCTAGATAGTTCACAATTGCAGTATCGTTGTCATTTTTGAGTCAATGGTTGTATCTGAAAACCCGTTGGCAATGCTAATAATAGATAGAGCAAGAAATATGGTCAAGGCATCAGGATATAAACGCAAAGGCCCAGAGCTCGACAGGAAATTTGATGTCAGGGTCAAGTCATGGTAACGGCGATATTCACACTGGTCAACACCAAATCGTCGTTTATAGAAATTGGTGGCTTAGCATAAAAATTAAAATATACGAAAATAATTGTTATTAACAATAACATGAACTGCTGCGTTAGGCAGGAAGCGCAGTGTTTCGGAACCCGTTAGTGTCTTGTTATTCGAGACTAAATAGTCAACAAACAAAATGGTGTTAAAAACAGATAAACTTTTCTCACGAGAAAAGCTAAACTACGGTAAAATATAAAGTTATTGACCGATTCGGCTGAAATGTGATGTGAGCCCCCCCCCCCTCCCTCTGAACATCCCCTGAAAATTTCAAGTGTCTACGATCACGGGAACTGGTGTGGTAGAGGTAGTGAGGCACGTTATCGGCTTCCAGAAAATATTTGAAGATACCTTTTCTTTTCTTTCAATGGTGCTTGATAACAATGTTGGACATGACAAAGGTCGGAAATATCGTTTACAAAGTAATCCTCTGCTTCTAAAGAGTATCGTTTGAAATTTTGCCATGACGAAGAACACATGGTCAGTTAACACTCTTTCGTAGCCAATGCAAAGTGACAGGCATCATAGCCACTAGACCAGAATGATTGACAGCTGTCAGCCTTCACCTTCGAAATATCAAGGGAAATAATTTGAACAACTGGGGGCAGACCACATTGACTACTACATAAATGTTAAAACCCGTTTACCTGCTATTCCAGGCCAGGAGTTTAAAGTAGAAAAATAAACTAATATAGCCTTATTTATTACTTCTTTAAGTGGCATTTAGTAATTGTACAGTAACACACTAACACTATTTTATGGAATAACAATCACTGGTTTATTAACATGCAACGTTTCGACGATGATACTCTCGTCTTTATCAAGCAAATGATAACATATATGTTCGTTCGTTTCTGGTGTTTTACGTCCACTTCCACCTAAAGTGATATCGTAGACAATAACATAATATGTATTCGTTCGTTCGTTTCTGGAGTTTTACGTCCACTTCCACCTACGGTGATATCGTAGACAAGACATATATGTAAAACATAAAGTATTTATATACAGTATAAAAAGAAGCCATAAATATAGACCTTATATATAACTAGCACTGATCAAAGCGATGATGATAAAACCCTAAGTGGTTACAATGTACCGAAGCCATAATTAATTACATATCTATAAAGCAGGAGTGCGCCTAATTAGTGTTATTACAATGATACAAATAGGTGTTAAGCATTCATTAGGTGTGCAATAACACACATTGACTATTATTTAATACCATTGATGTTTAATTTTTGATAATGGCGGATGTTAGATAGTATATGTAGCACTGGATCATATATATACTTAAATATTAAAGTTATGATTAATATTAAGGGCTAATCAATAAGCATGATTCTGAATGTTATGAATAATAATAATAATGAAAAAGTAATCAGTAGCCAATCCGATATATAATAATATATTGAATACAATAAGTGAGAATGGAACAACAATCCTGATAACAAAATGAATTACTGGAAAATTATTGTATCGTATGCGTGGGGAAGATAGACTCCTACATCTCTGTTAAGGGCCGGCTTGTGTCGTCGGATCTGAATACTTTCCATAATTTTCCTTGTCTTTTTAACATGTTGGTTCGCGTTCATCACTTCTACTTTAGACCATTGTCACCCATAACGCCATTAATCCCGCCCCGAATATACACAAAAAAGTGACGAAATAAATAAATATTCTATACACCCCCACCCCCCACCCACAAACACCGTATTTATATCGTAGATTGGCTCTCACAGCAGCAGGATTTTTTTAAAATTTCGATTGGCCCCAAGACTCGATTTTGTATTTAGATTCGTGTCACAGCAGGAATTTCTTCATTGGTCCCAACAACAGGATTTTTTTTAGGTTATCCCTCACGGCAGGGATTTTACTCAGATTAATCTCCAGCGGGATTTTTCTGTACTGATTTATATTAGTTCAGATTGGCCCTCACAGCAGGATGTTCTATAGGTTGGTCCCAACAGTAATATTTTCTATAGATTACTATCACAGCATATGTATTACTATTACAGCATATTTATTAATATAACAGCATATTTATTACTATTATTTATTACTTTTACAGCACATTTATTACTTAACAGCATATTTATAGTGCACCCTTTCATATACCGTGTTCAGGGGCACTTTACAAACTGGCAATGTAACCATATATAAAAAAACCCAAAACAAAACAACCCGACAAGCAAAATTATGGACATATTATCAGTCGCATACTGTGTCAGTTAAATCCTGTTTAAATAAACGTGTTAAGTTATTTTTTAAAAGAATATAAAGATGTACACTATTTTATACTAAATGGAAGATTATTTCATAAAACAGACAGTTAAAAACTAAAAGAGTCCCGGCGATAAGAGACAAAACAGGGTTGGCCTTGAAAAGTAGTTTATCTTAGGCCCTATGTAGGCTCATCCTCGGTTACCCAGTGTACTCATTCCGTTTTACTCCACTATACCCTGGGTTAATCTATGGGGGAGACACGTTTTCAAGTTATCCGCCCTTGATGATTGTGCTATTTTTATCGACCAATCCCATAAATTGTTATTTGAAAAGGAAGTTGGCAAAGGTAAGTAACTCTCATTGGACAATGTTAGGAGTTGGCCTATTCTAAATGCGTAATTATTAACAACCAATTATATATTATGTTAATGAAGACCAGACGTTCATATAATAATGTAGGGTCATTAGTTTTATTTAGAATCGTTCGTTCGTTCCCTGAATTTTATGTTCACGTGATATCGTAGAGAAGTTTTTGAGAATCAAATTGCCATGTATAAGTTCAATAATGATAAACATAACAGAATTACATATTTCAGACAAAGAACGAATAGTAATAATAATAACAAAAGTCAAATATATAGATGTTATACATATTTGAAATCAACAACACATCAGTGTTTGACAATACAATTAAATATAAATAAATTATAAATATATACATTATTTACATAAATCATTCAGTAAATGGACATGAATATGGTTATCTACCCTTATAAAAACGAAGGCGAAACGATTGGTTTGTAAGGCCAGGACAGATAATTTGAAATCGTGGAAACCCTGTGGATTAACCCAGGGTATAGTGGAGTAGAACGGAATGAGTACACTGGGTAACCGAGGATGATGTAGGCTATGAATGTTCGGCGCATCAGAAATTTTCGTCACAATAGAAATTACAACAGAATGGCTTTTCAGCTTGGTTCACACAGTAGGATTTTCTATAGATTGGTTCCAACAGCACCATTTTTCTTTAGAATATCCATTATATCAGGAATTTCGTGAGATTATCCATCAGAGCAGAATTATTCGGCAGAATAGCCACTACAACAGACTTTTTGTTTTGTCAGAATAGCTATCGCAGCAGAATTTTCTATAGAATGGTCCCAGCAATTGGAATTGTGATTAGATCATTCAGTAGAGCAGGAATTGTCGTTAGATAATCCACCACAGCAAAAAAAAATCATCACAATAGCCATTACACCAGAATTTTCGTCACAATAGCCATTACACCAGAATTTTCGTCACAATAGCCATTACACCAGAATGGCTTTTCAGCTTGGTTCTCACAGTAGGATTTTCTATAGATTGGTTCCAACAGCACCATTTTTCTTTAGAATATCCATTATATCAGGAATTTTGATAGATTATCCATCACAGTAGAAATATTCGGCAGAATAGCCACTACACCAGACTAATTTTTTTGTCAGAATACTAATAGCTATCGCAGCAGAAATTTCTATAGAATGGTCCCAGCAATTGGAATTGTGATTAGATTATTCAGCAGAGCAGGAATTGTCGTTAGATTATCCACCACAGCAAAAAAAAAATCATCACAATAGCCATAACACCAGAATTTTCGTCACAATAGCCATTACACCAGAATTTTCTTCACAATAGGCATTACACCAGAATGGCTTTTCAGCTTGGTTCTCACAGTAGGATTTTCTATAGATTGGTTCCAACAGCACCATTTTTCTTTAGAATATCCATTATATCAGGAAATTCGTGAGATTATCCATCACAGCAGAATTATTCGACAGAATAGCCACTACAACAGACTTTTTGTTTTGTCAGAATAGCTATCGCAGCAGAATTTTCTATAGAATGGTCCCAGCAATTGGAATTGTGATTAGATTATTCAGTAGAGCAGGAATTGTCGTTAGATTATCCACCACAGCAAAAAAAAATCATCACAATAGCCATTACACCAGAATTTTCTTCACAATAGCCATTACACCAGAATGGCTTTTCAGTAGGATTTTCTATAGATTGGTTCCAACAGCACCATTTTTCTTTAGAATATCCATTATATCAGGCATGTCGTGAGATTATCCATCACGGCAGAATAGCCACTACACCAGACAATTTTTTTGGTCAGAACAGCTATCGCAGCAGAATTTTCTATAGAATGGTCTCAGCAATTGGAATTGTGATTAGATTATTCAGCAGAGCAGGAATTGTCGTTCTGCTTCCTCTAAGGAATTAAACATCTTTGTTGGCAGGTCCGTCGCCATATTTCTCTGCTCTGAATAATATCCAGAAAGCGACCTTCACCGATCATGTCAAGGCGTGGTTAGGCTTTTTAATTCCCGCCTACAAACACGTTAGAATATCTGTTCATTTAGCTATTGGGAGCTCCCCCCCTTTTTGTGTTTTTATTGGGTGCGATATAGCATCAACCCACATGGTCGGCCACAACCATAGTCTCTATAGTCTATCATCCAGAAAAATATTCTACGAATATGGCCACAGATCACTAATGTTAATTCTCGTCTCTTAGACCGACTCTAACTTTTCCCCAAATTTTCGTTGGGGAGAAAGCTTTCGGCCAAAGATGAAGTAACATGTGGCAAACTCTTGCCCAAAAATCTCCATGAAAAAGGGGTACGAGAGCATCGCTAACGCTGCAATATACGTCCACATTCCAGCATTGATTGATTAATATGGTACTTTTTAAAATGAAGAGAATGAAATATGAAATGGCTGTCCCTATACAGGGCTTTGACTGTAATGTGATAAGAGGCAAAGAAGGCTAGGCGTTGGATTTGTTTTGCCAAATTTGCAGACAAAATACTAACAAAAAAGTGGGTCGGGGCAAGCACCAAAATAAATAGTTGCTGTCTTTACGGTATAAGGAATAAATATGCAAAGTTCCAAGATGATCCATTCAGAATTGCAGCCTGTAGACGATAAATACAAAAAAATGGGCGTGGCTCTGCCCCTGGGGGTTGGATATGGAACAATATAAATAGGTACCACCCTGTTATTGAAATGACAACATCAATAGTTGCCGTCCTTAGGGCATAAGAAATAAGTATTCCAAGTTCCAAGATAATCCAATCAGAATTGTGGCCTTCGGGCGCTAAAGGCAATAATTGGGCGTGGCCCTTAGGTCGGGACATGCAGTTGTCGTCTTTAGGCTATAAGGAATACATATCCCAAGTTCAAAGAGAGAGAGAGAGAGAAATGGGGTTCAAC